CCCAAACGACAACTACGCGCCCCCTCCCCGCCCCCCACCCTGGCGAAATGAACCCCGCAGCCGCCTCTCTCCCCCCGCTCTCTAAGATGGAGCGAGCAGGAAACTAACAAAGAAGCAAGCCAGCTTCGGCCTTGGTGGGAGCCACAATCATGCTGTTTTAATGGACCGAATGCCGGCCAATTGCAGCGGAGATTTTTACAGCTTTGCAGGGGAGAAGGTGAGCATTGCACACGGACGGAGCTGTTGTGTTGGGACTTCTTTTTTTTTTTGCAACTTGGACCCCTCCGAAATATTCGCCTAAGCGGGTGGTTCGCCTTCCTGCCGTGGAGCGCTACAGCTTCGATAACAACATAGGCTTTTACTTAAAAAGGGGGGGGGGGGGTCGCTTGATTTACTTAGTTTCAGAGCGGTTTGCAGATGAGGCCGTCGGCCAGTCCAGTCCGGGGACAGTCCGGAGCGATGCTTCGGTCTGCGAAATGCAGTTTCTTCGTCCTGTCATTCTGAGTCGCGCGCTGCTCGCCGGCCTTGAATGCTCCTTCTGGTTCGGGCCTGCATTTCCCCCCGGGATCCGCGCACGCCAAGAGGCCGCCGTTCAACTTCGGGCGCCTCGTTGCGACCGTTCCCGCAGGACCGTGGCTTTCTTGTCGATGAAATCCACGTTTCCCGCCCGTTGCTTTTCTGGGAAAGGGGGCCGCAAAATGCACTTGCGCGACGCCCGGTTCCTTCCGTGGTTGGAGAGGCCCTTTTAAGTAGGGCTGGGGCTAAAGCCTTGCTTGCGGCGGCGTTGTTTACCTCTTGCATGCGGGGACCCGGGGCTGCCCTATTGTGCGCCAGCCCCGAGCTTTGCCCTAGAAACGACCGGCGGGAGGTGCTGGCAAACGCGTCGCGAAAGGTGGCTAATGCATCCGCCAGGATTTATTTCAGTTTGCACGGTTGGAGCCGGAAAAACGGCGGGGCCGAGGGATTTCAGCGGGCCTGTTTGGGAGCAAGCAGAGCCCCGGAGTGAATTGCATGGGGCTGGCGACTGTGCCAAGGTGACGGTGCAAAGGGGCAAAGGTGACGGTGCAAAGGTGACGGTGCAAAAGCCACTGTGCAGAGGTGACCCTTGGGTCTCTTCCCTCAAATGCCTTTTTTTGGAAAAAACCGAGTTCGGTGCGCTGTGCTCGGTTTGGCTGCCTGTGAGGATCCCAGGATCATTCTGCACCAAGGCCGTTCAGGCGCCTTCCCGTAGAGCTGTGCAGGGGGACGACGTCATTAAAACACG